ATTTGCAGGTAGTCTGAAATGTCTCCCTTGATATCATATATTGTATTTTACTTACATATCTCCTTTTATTTAGCACCTTCTGTGTACCAGGTGTGGTAGGAATACACAAATGGATAAGGCATACTTCCTGATCAAAGAGCTCATTCATCATCTAGAATAAAAAAAATCAAATCAAAATAAACCCCCCCAAACAGGTAAACAAATAGTTGTGATGCAGTAGATAAGTGTTCCACAGAGGTGTGAACGAAGAAGACATTCAGGGGAGGGTCTGGTGTTAGGGAACATGTGTGACGCAGAGGCGAATCTTAAGGGATGAGGAGGAATCTGTTGGTCAGATAGTGGAAAGATATTTCAGGCAGGAGGAACAACTTGCTCATTAGGCATCAGCAAAATGATGAACGCATAAGGTTAAGTGGAGAAGTTAATTGGGAGGGAGTTGAGACAGGAAAGGAGGCAGGGGCCAGGTCATGAAGGGCCTAATAGGTCATGCAAAAGATTATAGATTGTAACATACTGGTCATGAGGTATCCTCGTAATAGAGCCCATTTTAATAGTCTTTAACAAGGAGAAGCTTTGTCTTTATCACCCATTTTTTTAATATTTATTCCAGGAGCAGATTTATTGAAACTAACTAGAGATGATGTGATCCAAATCTGTGGCCCCGCAGATGGAATCAGACTTTTTAATGCATTAAAAGGCCGGTATGTAATTAGTTTTAAAATATCAATGAGGTTTGATTTCAGATGGATTTGGAATCAGGGATTCTTCATAATATTCCGCACAGCTAAATACGTCTTGTCAAAAAAATTTTTTTTATTGTCATTTTCATTGTGACTATTTCAGGAAACTTTTTTTTTTTTTTTTAAATACAGTACCCTCTCCTGTCCTCATCTTTGGTTTGTGTTCTTTGATAGCTTTATTGTGTCTTTACTTTTCAAGAAGTAAAATTTTCCGAAGAGCTACAGGCTTCTCCATTCCCAGCTTCTCATGTTTGGTAACACCTCCTGAAGCCATAAGTGCTTAGAGACTGAGGACTGAAGGGTTTTAACTGTTATATTTCTGGAAATAATATGAGAAGGATGACACTTAACTCCAGTACTTTAAGCCTTATGGCACAGTTGACTCCTGTTGATCTTCTTTACTTGGGTTTTGTTATTTTGGGTTAGGTGATTAACCTGTTCAGAACATCTGCTCTAATCCTCAAAATGAAAAATATGAAAATTCATTCATTCAACTTTTTATTGTGTGTTTTGTGCAATTTTGAATGCTCTTATACAAAGTAAATGGCATAATATATCACTGTCCCATCTGCTAGCAAATAATGCTATGCAGAAGCCTTCCTATGGTACCCTTGATAAAATATTCTGAATTGTCAGAAATTACATATTTCTAATAAAAAATGCACACTGGCAGTGAGATAGTGAAGAGTAAAGGACAGTAATTACCTGTAGGACTAATTCCCAGCAAAGGCCTTAAATTGTATTCACATAAGCAGGTTCTGTAGTGACTTCTGTGGCTGTTACAGCTGGTGAGCACTCTGATCATACATCACAAAACTTTTACACTTGAAATCAAAGCACATTTCTTTTAGTTCTGTTATTTAGAATTCCTACCTTATTTTTCCATGGGACAAAATTAGTCTGCATGTCATAGTGCACTTAAAGTTCAGTATTACCTGTGAATTAAGATAAATACTATACCTGTGCCTAACTAACTTCTACAGGTAACATTATTTCTGTCAGAAAACACTTTCCCAGTTCCCCTGCAGGACGCCAGGAATGCGCATCACCCCAGAGATCTCTGTGTCCATGGGCAGCACCTCCAGAGGGGAGAAGAGCCTTTGTCAGGGAGGGCAGCAGAGGAGGAAGCTGAGGCTTGCAGCTGAAGCTGGTATTCCAAGAGCAGCCGTGATTCATGTGTGGAGAATGGACTTTTCATTCCCTCTCATTTTCTCTGCTCTTAATATGCATATAATGAGCTTCTGTGATGGCGGTGAGGGAGGCATGGGGGTGGTCCTGGACATAGATGCCTATCTGTCTGGAATCTGCTTCTTTATTAGTTTGGTATTGACTCTGCTCATCCTCTAGGATAGGCCCCTATCCTTCCTACATTGCCAGAAACAGGCAGTGATGTGTGGTGACAGCAGTTTATCCCCATGACTTTCCTTTACTCCTCATGCTGTCAGTTGGACCCAGTGGAGGGGAGAGTTTTGTGGCCTTTATGCTGCTGTTTTGAAACCTGGTGGAAGGGAAGGTGTGATGGCCTGTCACCTGCTTCGTTGGGGTTTAGTTCTCATAACTTTTTTTTTTTTTTTTGTCTTTTGTCTTTTTCCGTGTCTGGCAACGGATCGCAACCCTCAGTGTTGCCCCCGTACCGGACCGGGGACCGGCAACAGGATTGCAACCCTCGGTGTCGCTCCCGCGCCTCGCTCAGCCAGTGAGCGGGAACCGGTCGGTATGTGGGATCCGAACCCTTGGGCGGGAGCGCCGCCGCGCTTCCCAAGCGGCGCCCTATCCAGTGCGCCCCCCGGCCGGCCCCCCCCTTTTTTTTTTTTTTGTCTTTTGTCTTTTTCCGTGTCTGGCAACGGATCGCAACCCTCAGTGTTGCCCCCGTACCGGACCGGGGACCGGCAACAGGATTGCAACCCTCGGTGTCGCTCCCGCGCCTCGCTCAGCCAGTGAGCGGGAACCGGTCGGTATGTGGGATCCGAACCCTTGGGCGGGAGCGCCGCCGCGCTTCCCAAGCGGCGCCCTATCCAGTGCGCCCCCCGGCCGGCCCCCCCCTTTTTTTTTTTTTTGTCTTTTGTCTTTTTCCGTGTCTGGCAACGGATCGCAACCCTCAGTGTTGCCCCCGTACCGGACCGGGGACCGGCAACAGGATTGCAACCCTCGGTGTCGCTCCCGCGCCTCGCTCAGCCAGTGAGCGGGAACCGGTCGGTATGTGGGATCCGAACCCTTGGGCGGGAGCGCCGCTGCGCTTCCCAAGCGGCGCACTATCCAGTGCGCCACCGGGCCGGCCCCAACTTTTTTTTTTTTTAATGCCAAAAATGTACCAAATAAACAAAGATGAAAGATATCCTTTCTTCCGGTTAATCCAAGGAATTCTCCATGATATCCTTTTTTCATTTCCAGGTAGTCTTCTCATTCACTAAATATTCTTTGTCCTTATCATGAGCCAGGTACTGTTGTAGGCTCTGGGGATATATTAGTGAGCAAAATAGACAAGGTACCCATTGTTATGGAGTTTACTTCCTAATGGGGAGAGAGGTAAAGATCTAAATATTAAGTATTTTGGATAGTGATAAGTGCTTTGAAGGAAAACAAATGAACAAGCAAAAATAAGGTTGTCGGCTATTAAGTGCCCAGAATGTGGTCAGGAAAGAGTGCTCTGAGGAGGGGCTATCTAAGCAGAGTTATGAGAAGGATGAGGCTATGGAGTCATATGAGGGAAGAGCATGCTAGGCAGAAGGAACGAAAGGTGCAAAGGCCTTGAGTCAATTTTAACTGGAGAAAAGGTCATTCTTAAGTTTGGATAGGAATTACTTAAGTGTCTGCTTGCAAATGGTACTTGTAATATAGAGCACTTTGTAGTCCATTTTTTGGGACTTAGAATTTTAAATAGGTAGTAGTAATATTGATGGAACAAATGTACAGGTTAATGGCAACAGAACCAAATCAGTGACTAAATAATATAACAGGTTGTGAAGTATTTGTGTTTGTGATTCAGTATCACAAGGGATGTTGAACTAGTTGTCTGTAATCTTGGAAAATTTTAAAGAAAGGTGAAATTCAGGCACTGGTGACTTGGGAACAAAAGAATGGATCTTCCATTTTTAAGTGTATTCTCTAAAGAGTGTTTAGAAATAGGAAGGAATAAGATGGTCAGATCAAGAGGTAATTGTAGCTTTGTCTAAGAAGTAAGAAGAACAGAAAGAGGGCTTAGGCTACTTAGGAGAAGGTAACGAGGGAAGTAAGGTTATTCAGCTTACTATGTTGACATTTTTAAGTAAAAGGTATGTCTTGAACCTGACCTGTAAAACGGTGGCTCATATATTTTGAATATTTCTAAACTTTGCACCAAACATGACCGACTTGGATGACTACAGAAGCCTCATAGGTAATATAAATGAGTGACAGTCATGTCTGGGGTATAGTGAAGAATGTGTGCCCCATGTACGCAGAACAACTGATTGTTTTCATGTGAGAATGAGGGCCTCAGATTGCTAGATCTAAGTTTTTAAGAAAAACCAAAAGTTCAGAGGTTTATA